TGGACTTTGCTTATTCAAATGACAGGACTCTGCCTGGAGAGAAAGGCTGGTGAAGTCCACTTCAGAAGTAAGGTTACTATAGTGCCTTGAAAAGGAAGGGTCCATCTATTATTTCCATTGCAAACTGCTAAGTATTTACCCTGTATGAAGCTTGGTACATCAAGTATTAGTACAGTAGGGAGCTGCCTTCCCTCTCCACCTTCACCTCTTTTTGGCCCATCGTTGAAAAACAACACTCTCCTGTCTCAAACTACGTTATAGGAAGCACAAAATAGATCAGGAAAAAACAAACAAACCCCAACACAAAAACAAACCTTACGTTTTCCAGGCCTTGAATTGCTGTTTTGGCATCTCTAGATCCACCAAAATTAGGCTCCTAGAACCAAGCCTGGAAAAGAATTCCCCTGCCCTGTGGCAGGGCAGCCAGGGGAGGCAGAGCACTCGCAGCCCGGGGGCACCAGGCAGTGCATCAAGTATTCATTTTTTTTCAAGTACCAGGTTGTTGGACACACAGAGAGACAAGCAGAAAGCTGATCCAGACAGAGGATTATCTACGGAAGTGATATGTAAGCTCAAATCCCAAAGTTCAAGTCCAGAGCACCAGTAAAGTGCCCGGTGTTTCCCCAGACCTGCACGGAACAACTTTCACCCACCAGAGAAAATCCCTCCCTTCTGAGGGGGCTCTAGTGCTACTGGTCCACTAAAGAAACAGTTTTATGTCAAAAATTGCCTTTGTGGGGTGTCAGCCAAGGCTGGATAAGCCCACAAAAAGGTTCATTGTTTTGGTGACAATTTAAAATCTCAAAATAAATACATGCCCAGCTTATTAAACTCATTTTCTGTTCTGGACAGGCTCATTAGTGATGGGAGCACCCAAATGCTTCTGTTTGTTGGGTTTTTGAAAAGCAGTTTCCCCAGCTTGTGGTTCACAGCACAGTGAGTAAATGTGTTGTCACCTTGCAGGTCATGCTGAACCTCAGCCCATCTCACCCATGGGCTGGACAGGGGCCAGACAGCTCAATGTCTCACCCAGTTGATCAGACAAGTTCTCCTGATGGGCATTTTTCCATCATTACTCTTGCCTCACTAGCAAACTGTGCCCTGCTGAGAGCATAATCTCCTCTAAGTGTCCCCTCACTAGGTATTCACCAGGAGACAGAGCATTCCAGCCTGTCAGGCACGTGTATGGAAAGGCTCCCAAGTGCTAACTGGAGACATTGATTTCTGTTGAAGAACATCTCTCACATGCTTAGCAAATCCCCAAAGCTACACAACTGTTCAACTGCATTTGAGGTTTTGACACACAGAAGAAGAGAAATAAGGCAGCAAACTCCATCTGCAACAACTGCTTTTGTCTTAATATTGCTAGAGCTCTAGCCCAGGTGCCTGCTCACCCGGTACCAAGTGCAAGGTGGGGAACCAGAACAGATGGAATTTCTTGCCAAATTCTGAAGTGTTTTGATTAAGTAAAGAAATTTACGAGAACTCGGTTATCTTAACCTACTTTTGTGCAAGAACAACCTTGCCTTAAAAGAAAAAGAAATCAACAAAAACTCCCCAAACCCAACAGATGAGGTATTCAGCACAGGAAACCCAAAGACTCTTTTTGAACAGGTATCAAAATACATACATATACAACTGTTGGTTTTTTTTTTCCTGCTGTCACAGTGCACTCTAATTATTGAATCACTTTCATTGCAACAAAATATCCAGTACAGATAAAGTGAGAGAGTCTGATCATGTCCCACTGCTTTGACATGAGAAACAAATTTACAAGTTAGAAACTGCGAGCCTTTGGATTACCTTAGAGAGGCAGAAATTTAGCAATGGTTAAAGCACACTGCTCAATTCCCAACTAGGGAAATAAAACATAAAAGGTTAGAGCTTCAGAAACTATTAAGATTGATCACCTAAAATGGCATTTTATTTTAAAAGTTTTGCTTTGGATTATTTCAATCCAACATCTGATGAACAAGAATCCTTTGTTCATACAAAGCACTATCAAACAGACGTACGTTATTCCAGTTATCAAACACTTCTTGTCTTTATATTTGACACAAACATTACATAAAAGTCATGAAAGAGAATTTCCATGGAAGAGCTAATATTTCTCCTGAATAGGAAGATATGAAGTAACATTGATACCTCCCCAAGCAAACCACTGTGTTGTACTTGTCCACTCTACATCAGTCTCTCCTACAAGACGCCCGCTGGTTGTGCAGGGAGCGGTGCTGACATTTCCAGTTTCTCCTTCCCACTCTCCTGCAGCTCATAAAACACTTGTGGCAAATGTTCTCTCAGCCTTGTATGTTCACAGAGTGAAGCAGACAAGCTACGAGTTTCCCTTTTTTTGTTTTTCTTTTTTTTGTTTTAGTCTTCCATGTGTGTGTGGATTTTCAGCTGGCCCAGGGCACGTGGAAGCAGAAGGACGATCTTCAGCCTGCTGTATTGCTTGTAAGTGGAAGTGTCAATCACAGTGCACACCAAAATTCCAGTTGAGTTGCTCAATACACAGGTTATCCTGCTAAGCAGATTCCCCTTGACAGTAGGATTGTCCCAGAGCTGTGGATGCTAGAGATAAGCACAGTAATTCATATACAGACACTTGCTGTTACAGTCACCTGAAGTGTTTTTTAAATCTTAATTTCCATTCATACTTCAGACCTCAAAGATAGAAAAGAGCATCTCCTCCAAATGTGCTGTGCATGGTTGGACACTTATTCTTAGAAACAGGAATGCTAGGCATAAAAATATAAAGAAAATAAGGCATTACAAATGAGTCAAAGTAAATGTACAGAGATCCTGCTCTTGACACAGATTAATTTTGGTCATTTGTGACCAAAAAGAAAACAAAGCAAAAAACTCCCTAAAGTAAATGCCAGAAAGTTCTGCCTGAGCAAAAAATTACAAGTTTGATTCTATTTTTCCCCAAAAGAACAAGTGATTCCTTGGTGGTAGAAGTCCATCAGAACCTGAGAGCAAAGGTGGCTGGTTGCACCGTTGGGGAACAGGGTTAAGGTCCAGTGACAGTCACACATGTACTGCTGGGCTTCCCAAGGGGAGCTGCTGCTACAGATCAGCTAAGGAGAAATTAATAATATAGAGTGTTCTCACTGAAATCTTTCTGGCATTCCCCAAATTTCCTATGTTCTTAATTTAGGGCCCAGAGAAAGTTTGTTCTCTTCAAATCCCATCACTTACACGTGTGAGATGGCGTGTGTGTGGGGAGGGACAGGGACACAGTAAAACTCACTTCATTTCTCCCAGTTACATCCTGAATGAATCTGAAAAGCAAATTGAAGAAACTGCTCTTAGAAATGTAAGTTTCGTTTCTTCTTTTTAAATTACTAAGTGCCAATTAATTAAAACGAAATTGCAGTCACATGGAAGGTAAGTGTGAGAAATCACACATTTCAAAGAAACTCAGTTAAACGGGAAAAGAAAAATGACTTTTCTTGTCTTTGCCTGAATTTATCTGATGAAAACATAAGATGTGCAGCTTTTTTTTTTTTAAATCCCAGGAAAGTTTGGGAACAAGGTGAACTGAGGGTCAGGCAGGGTCTCCTCTCTGGAAAGCCTGCAAGATTTTCTTCACTGTTGCAACTGGTACAGGGTTTTTTTTAAAAAGAATTAAATCAAGGTGAGCATCGTGGACAATTCCCAGCAGAGCTCAGAGTTCATGCAGCCTGGGAATGGCTGAAGCATTTGCTGCCTACCAGAGAAATGCAAAGATTAAAAATTCATTCCCATGTCTGCAAGGCATGCCAGCCTACCAAGGAACACATTGGGAAGCCACTCCAGAAGCCACATGCTGTCATGTCACTGTTCCCAGCAGCGTCTGCTCTACAAGAGCTGAGATCCCTAGAGCAGTTCACAGCAGTCACAGCCACCGACTGAAGCACTTGCAACCAGAAAGAAGGAGAAGATAAAAAGCTTGAGAACTTCTGATTGAAGTTTTTACAGTGCTTGTAAGTGGGATCTTGGTAAGGATCCATCTTGATAAGGATCCATCTTGATAGATGATGAAAAGAAGAACATGTGCGTTAGTGAATGAACTCCCAGCAGAGAACGCTTTGTTTTCAAAAGTTAACTTGTTTTTACATTCAGTCTCCTGAGACCACACACCACATCGTAGCCTACAGGCTGAAAATTACACTGAAAAACAACAAAGCTGGTTTAAAATACGGGTGAGCAAAGGGGGGAAACAGCTAGATTGTCCATAAGCAACAACTGGGCTCTTTCTTGTGCTCCTAAACCTCAAGAACATGTTTGTTTATATTTGCACAGACACATATTACGTATAACTCCACAAAATCTAAGAGTGTTCCAGAGTAAACTAGTTTTCATGACAAGTGTCGACTAAAGGATGAGGCAGGATGGCCAAAAGCTTTGGCCCTGCAGGAAGAGGAATGGGGGAACAAACAAACAAAACCAGAGGATGTGATGGAAGACAGACCCTTAACCACCATGGCACCAGCAGGCGACGTCATCATCATCATAATGCACAAGAAACAGGCATGTCCAAGCTCCACGTAACCAGTGGCACCAAAACATGCAATAGACTAAAATCTATCCTATTGTTTCCCTGCAATAAATGAAAACACAGAATATATAAGTCACTACACCAGGATTCAAAAACATGGTGCCACTAGGCATTTCTCTCAGTGGCCAAACACCTGAACAAGGCATCAACTAGAAACCAAGCTCCAGCTTATCGCTTTGTGAGTGTTTTCCTCCTCAGCTTCACAGTGACCTGAGACTGGATTTCCCAAGCGTGGCATGAACTGTTCTGCCTTACAAACATCACTGATGGGGGTCCATGGGACGAGGTTGTTCCCACTTGGTTTACTCCCAGGAAGTGCTCCCAGCAATAAGCAGCAGTTCACAACTAACCTCCAGAAGTTCAAAAATGGTTTTGTTAAATAGGAATTTTAAGGTCTTTAGCAGAGTCTCTTCATCTGAACCAAGACAGTTACATCCACAGAGCAGCATCGAGTTTGTCAGACAGTACAGGACTTGTCAGTAGGCTGCTGAGATGCAGAGGAGGCAACGCCAGGGCTCGTGGCATTTGTTTTGGGGAACACTGCAGGCTTGGGCCGCGTGGCCGGTGGCTTCACCTGGGTGGCCATTTTGACCGACTTGACTGGCCTGAAGGTGCAGGGGATGTCCCCGGCCGTGCTGGCACTGCGCTGGAAAGCTGGCTCAGTGTCCTTGAGGATCTGAGTGTGCAGAGGGCTGGAAGGTTCCGAGGTGGGGGCCACCACTGGAGAGGTTTTCAAAGGCTCCAGGGTGTCGAGGACAACATCTGGCGTGTGCTTTACGCTGCTTTGCCTTTCCAGCTCCCGCAGCTCGTTCAGAGCAGAGTTCATAGTAGCTTCAATATCCTGCAAACACAAAAGAGAAACCAAGTGAATAACAGAACCCAGGCACAGAAAGACAGAGATAAAAAGTCAGACTTTGAGAGCAATGTGTTTGTTTTCAGCCAGTAAACACCAACACTCAAATCAAGTGGAGGGTCGAGGACTTTAAAGTGTCAAAGTGAAACCCACACCAAGCTATGCAGCCTTACAAACTGAACCCAATAAGCAGGAATATTTTCCATCAACAGGGAGCAAAATAATTGCTAGCACTTTCTTAGTGCTAATCTGGTCCTGAAGCTGCTTGGACTCCAAAGATGAGTGCAACCCCAAAATGCAGCAATGACCAGAAGAGCATGTGATTCCAAGTATTGGGATCCACTCTTGTACTTTGTGTCATAGGAGATTCAGGAAACTAAACTATTGAAGAAAGGATTGATGATTTTGACACTGGCTGACAGGCCACACATCAAACCCTGAAATCCTTGTGTGCTGTTGCTGCCTCATTGATTTTCCTGCTGTCCAAATTCTCTTCCCTTCCCAGAAAGGTATCACATGAGACTCCACATTTCAAATGTTTTAGAGAACACAAAAGATATCAGAAACATCTAGAAATTCAAGTTGGCACTTCTCCTTCCTCTTACAAAATACTAGTTATCAACAACCGAATAAGAACTTTTGAGATAAAAATGGGGCTGTTCTGTTCTCAGCTGCAGCAGGACCTACATGTTTGCTGTGGAGCCCACAGGGGTGCAGAACTCACTGGAGAGAGAAGAGCTCGGCCTTTCGGTGACTCACAGCTTGGCTACAGCTTTTTAGCTTCCTTAGAGGTTTTTCAGGGGGTGGGGAAGGTAAATCAGTCAAGGAATGGTGGAAGAAACCAGAGACAGTAATCTGACACCTCCAAGTCTATCTTGAGGCCAGGCAGATTTTACTTATGAAGTTAGGGAAAATATGTAAAATGCAGGATGATTCTTAGATGGTGTTTGAAGAGATACTACAGGGCAAAGAGAAACACTGATTCATTACAGCTTCCCCCCCCCTTTTTTTTTGTTTTCCCCTCCTCTTTTCTCTTTCTCCCCAGACTCTTCTCCAGAGCAGACAATGGAGTAAATGTTCTTGCAGGAGGAGGAGACAGAACAGCTTCAGTTAAAGCTTAATTGAAAAAACAAAGAAACTGATTTATGTCAACCAAAGGTTTGGAAGGACAATGAAATATGAAGACAAGAACCACATATTATAATTCCACTGGAATAAACGGGCTAAAGATATTCATAACAGCAAAATACAACTTTCCATCAGAGTATGTATCAGATTTTTATTTGGACCTTACTTATTACTTGATGTTGCTGTTTTGTTAATACAAAGGATGTTTAATTTTCATGTATCTTCCCTTAGCTCTTTAGAAACCTACAAGCTCCTGAACAAGGCAGAGAAGTCAGGTCTCCCAGGGCTGGCTTTGTAATCTGAGCCCCAAGCATTCCTTGGCTTTAGAGAGCTCCATCCCAGACTGAGAACAGTTGGTCCAGGACACTGCATGTGCAGGCACATCTAACAGCTCGGAGTGGGAGAAAGGGACAATCCTTCATGGAACAGGGATATCCCTAACATTCACTTAATTCACCCCATCAGGAGCTGTCACTTGTTCAAATCTAAGTCTGGTTTTCAACTGGTTTCTGTTCTGTTTGTGACACCACGGATGCAAAGGCACCACTGGTGTTTTGGGGAGCAGTGACCAGCTGCTGTGGCAGCATCACAGTCGAGAGGCAAAGAATCTGCAATGGACCAGTCTGTGTCAAAATCAGCAAAGGTGAAGCGAAGTCCTAAGAACACCTTTCCCTTTAGGCTGAGGTGAGGGTTTCTTCTTGTCTGGCCATGTTTGCTCCATCCCAAGGCAGGGCTCCTTGTGAAGCCAAAGTGCAGCTGCAGGCACGTCGGGAGCCTGCTGTGTTTCGAGGCACTTGTCTAAATAAATAACTAATGAAAACGAGCAGTATTATGTTCCTAGTTGGTTCCTAATCACACACACTGAACCCTGCAAGCACATAAAGATGCCACTGTCAGCACTGTACAACTCGGCAGCCTGCTTTTATTTTGACTGTACTACTCCACATGCTCCCAATGTCTAACCACAGGCAAGTCTGCACAACTGACAGGAGAATGTTAAATCGACACTAAAGACTTAATTTTCTCATGTCTTGAAGTTATGATTGTTTAATTTTTTGCTGACAGCTTTGGAATCTGTGTGACTTTCTGAAATGGACGTTTTTATTGTTGAAACTAAATTCTGAATAATGAACAGGGCCAAGTTCTTCAGGAGGAAGGACCCAACTGTTTATCTTCCCTCCTGAAAGCAGCCTCAGTGACTTACACAAAGCGAGGTTGAAAGCCCAGACTCAAGCTGTGGGGAGAGTTAATATTGCATTACAAGGAGGGAGAGGATAGGAGATTAAAATCAGACTTTGCATTAAAGCACTTCATTGTATCCAGCATCCCCTGAGCTTCCAAAGGAGCCCTGCCAGGCAGAGCCCTCCTCTTTACCTGTGCAATGACTTCGGGGTCCATGGGCCGGTGGTTGTTGAAGCTCTTGGACCTCCCCGCGGTCACAGCCTTGCGGACCTGCGGGCTGTCCAGCCTGCTCTTCAGGGACGAGTGGCGGGTGGGAGAAATCA